ACAGCCTCTCCCACTGGGCTGGGGTGCAGGAGGGGTGTGTGCACTGGTAGGAAAAGGATACTGGGAGCGTCCCAGCAGCGATCGTCTCTCAGGGGTGTCACAGGGATGGTTGTGGCCTCTGGCATCTTCCGCAGGTGTGTTCATCAGCCTCTGGAGCTCTGTATTGGAATAGTGCAGATTTTAACAAAGCTCTGAAGCTTTCTAAGTAGGGGTGACAGAGGAGGTGCCCCAAGACCATCCCTTCTGCACTAAGATCTCAGCAGGGTGCAAGACTTGCAGCTGTAGCAGACTGTTTTGTGGGAGGTTATGGCTCTGGCAGGTCTCGGGGGGTTGGTGTTCTTGTCAACACCTGCTGCAGTGGTGGGGTCTGAAGGTGGGGTGCAGTGGTGGGGTCAGTGCAGATGTGATTGCCCTGTGGTTACAGGAGGGACACAGGTGCATTGGAGGTCGCAAAGGTGTTTGTGCTGGAGTGGCAAAAGGGGACAGGAGTGCAATTCCTTCTGTGGCATGCATGCTACTAATACAAAATACACTACTATCTAGGAAAGAAAGCCAGTGGTTTTGAAGATCTGCTAAAACCAAAGGTGTGGGCGGTGCAAAAATATGAGGGGAGCGGAGAAGCTGACAAAGACCAAAGATGAGGAGAATCAAAAGTGTTGCAGGATTTCGTCTCTTTCACACTGGAAACCCTGAGCGGGGAACTAGCTGTGTATCATTTGGAGCTCTGAAAGTGAAAGGATGTGCTGGGCTGAAGTGTAGTACACGGGAATGGGATTTAACAGCAATGTGGCAGTGGGTGCTTGCTTCTGTATCAGTTTCTCTCTTCCCATGTTTTCAGAAATGTTCATAAACTTAGATGATCTTTTTAGGTCTCTAGTAATATTCACAAATAGTGTTCCCACTGTTACTAATTATGGCTTCCAAAAGCTATAAGAAAAAGTGAATGGGTTTGCAAAGTGAAGGACCTCATGCTTATGGCTTCCCCACTTTTTTCTGCCTTCTTGTTTGACCATGTTACAACACAGTCTCTATCTATGTGATGTTATA